CCGCTGCCCTCCGTTCGTGTCACATAAACTCGTGAGTCAAATGCCATTTACCCCACTTGTTGCTTGAACAGACGTTTTTGCCAACACTATTATAAAACATACACATTTTTCTATTCCTCTTTCGCGTTCCTACAGCCGAAATTAAATTTCTTGGAGTGTGAAAAAAATATGTATAGAATTTCTGTAGCATCATTTATAATCAACTGCTATGTTAATGCGGTGAGGTATAATTGTCATTCGATTTTAAAAAATTAACCAGATAATAACTAAAATGTGAGTATGTTTATTCCAAAATGAGTCAAAGTTACAACATAAGATTCGTAAATCATTTGCTTTATGTCTTAAGTAGTTTCCTTTAAAGAAGGCTAATTAAATATGAAGTTGTGCTGAGGACTTGATAGTGACATCATCTCCCCTGAAAATGAATCAGAATAAATTCTTTCTGTTCTATGTTCTTAAATTTGTATAAACAAATCAAAAATTTATACTTTAAACGTGTCCCCGAATAGTTCAGTCGTGATAGTTTCAAATACACAAATGAAACTTTCACAAACGACTTCACAACAAAACTTACTGTGTTTGACATTTGCCGCAGACAGACATTTGACTTTAGATAGTTCAAAGGCTCCTTGATTATAATTGAATAAAATTGTTAATATTGGGTTTTTATTTTATATTCGGAAGTAAATAGTATATTATGCAACAAGTGTGGTAAACGCCATTTGACTTACGAGTTTATTTGACACGAGCGGAGCGCAGCGGAGCGCAGCGGAGCGAGTTTTTAATAAACGAGTGAGTTAAAAAGTTTACCGAACGTGTTGCATACTATACTTTTTCTACGACCGTTAGTTTTTGGTTACATTTTCGCAAAACAACACGAATACATTCACTGACATGACCGTCAGAATTGACAAACGTCAAAATTCAAAGCGTGGGAAATATCTCCGAAAACATCCGATTGCTCCCAAATCCGTGCGGTAAAATCTCGGATTCACGGGAAATGAAACTGACGTGGCAAAGTGACGCTTCCCGCACGCTAGATCGGTGGGTAATTAGGTTATTTTACAGACGGGAGTAGAAAAAAGATTTTTCGCTTTAAATTGACAAGACGTGTATTTGTGAGGTCACAGCAAAAAAAATCTCTATTGACAAACGAAGGCCGTTCGACCCGCATATAAATGTTAAAATTGAAAGGACCAAACAAGCGAGCAGAGCAATAAATATCCGGGCAGTAAATCATATTCATAAACGGCTTAATTGTTCGTAAATCTTGGCTGAAGCTAGAGTCGTAAAAGTAAATGCGGGCAATTAAACGACCCGAAGAATAACAGGAAAAGTTATTCGTCAAAATTTTCGGCTTAGAACGCAAAACAAGCCTTACGGAACGCTGTCTATGCGTCGCGAGAGAACGAGTTTGTTGCAGGTGGGTCTTTGATGTACATAAAAAGCAAAACAGTCGATTTCTCGAGAACCCACTGCTTTCTTCGACGCCAGACGTATGGACCACAAAGAAGAAATCAAACGTATGCGGGTTGGCGATGCGATCAGTTAGTTCGATAGAAAAAAAACTACGGCAAAACGATAGGGGGTGGAGGGCCGCCATTTTTTTTTCGTTACGAACGTCGGACGTGCAGTTTAATAGAATATCTTATTCAGATTAATTTATATTGTAGTCCACTCGTTTTTGAGAGTTGGAAATTTGTATATAATTTCAATAGTGCCACGACGGACTTCAACAACAATAATTATTTACAACTTAAAGTAGAACAATAACACTAGAAATAACAAGGCACACTAAAGCAAAAATATCTTTAACTACTCTAAATACTGGTGTATGTGACCACCATTTACCCGAACGCATTTCTCATGCACTCCATTTAGTAACGCTTCCGGATTGTCTCCTAACTGATTTTTTATGTGTACCCGAAAGAAAAAATCCATTAAATTTAAGTCAGGGCTGTTCGCTGGCCAATCCATAGTTCCGCCGTTCCCTATCCAACCATTGGGATATTCCACGTTAAGAAAATTTTTAACTTGCACAACATTGTGAGGAGAGGCACCGTCTTGCTGCCATATCATCATCAGCGTTGATATATTTAGGGGTAAATCTTATATATATTGTTCTATTTGGTGCTCTAAGAGATTTTAATCTATAAATATCGAACCCAAAATATGCCCATCTATGACACCACATCATACATTGATGGTACCCCTGGGTTTTTATTTCGTGTATTTGTCTAGTATTATTTAAAAACCAATATCGCGTATTTTGTCTATTACAACCCTTTCCTGTAGTGAACGAACTTTTATCAGAACATAAAATGTTTTTCAAAAAATTATTATTTGTATTATGTGGATTTTTGTGAGTGGATTGGTCCCCGAGAAATACCTGTCTCTTCATATACTCTAGTATATGATATCCCTCCTTTCACGGATGCTAAATTCGCGAAAAACCATTTTAACAATAATGACATTGACAATAATTCAACCATCAACGTTGTTTACTAATATGTCAAACATAAACATATTTTTATTTGTTTATTTATTTAATTTTAATTTTATTTAATAGAAAGTGTGTTACATCATTGTAATCGGAATAAGATATTATATTTAAAAAAATAAGATGTCAGAAAATTGATAGTGATATCCGTCACTTGGAAAAAACTTGGCTACTAACCCTACATTTTGCTTTTTTGTTTACCTTGATATCTCTAAAAACAAAATAAGTTACAGCCAATTAAAATGTTATCACGGTACACCCTTGTAAAAATCGTTCTTTATGGTTCGATTTTGTTACTTTTTTTGGTTGGTTTTTTGTGTGTTTGTTAAAGTCATGACCAACCGAGACTAATTAACATTAGATTTTTTTTTTAAAATAGCGAATTCTTATTCAGGAGTACTTAGAACCCAACGATACCAATTTTTATAATCTTTTAATGCAGGGTGATTGAAATATCGCTTGCGTTCCGCTTAAGGCTGTACATCGTTGTAAAATCTTTGATTACTTTTGATCTCTTTTTATAATCTTTTAATGCAGGGTGATTGAAATATCGCTTGCGTTCCGCTTAAGGCTGTACATCGTTGTAAAATCTTTGATTACTTTTGATCTCTTAAAAACGGACTAAAACCTTATGTTTCTTATTACATCAACCCGAAATCATGTCTAACTGGGACTAGTTTTTGATGTCAAATATCGAGAAGGATTTCTTTAAGAATAATGAGAATTCTTATTCAAGACTACATAAAACCTAACTATACTAATTTCCATGAAGTTGGAATACATGATGCTCGAAATATCGCAGGTACCTCGCTTAAGCAGTTTTTTATAGTTCCATTTCGATAATTCTTTTTTGTTGGATAGATTTCACTGAAAGTCACTAATGAATTTCTCAAAATTAAATATAATTAACTCACTAACTTATATTTTAATTTTGTTTACATATTTAGACTTAAGTCGATGCAATATGAAGAAACCGTTTCATTTCTCTTTAGTAAGATCTATCCAGCAAAAAGGGAATTATCAAAATCAAATTTATCAAATCAAAATTATCAAATAGTACTTCTCTTCTCTCTCTTTTGTTAAATAGTCTCAGTTGGCCATGACTTTAGGTTGAAGCAAAACAAGGTTTTAGTGCATTTTTTAGAGACCTATCTAACCAAAAAAATTATCAAAATCAAACAATAAACAAAGATTTTACAAAGGTATAGGGTGTAAAGTTCTTAAGTGTATAAGTTCGTAAGTATATAAGTTCTTAATATACTAGGTGTTTCAAATTTACATTATTTTTTACCACACAATATAATACAAATGTACAAATTGTACAAACAACAGACAAAAGGATACGAATAGACTAGCTATCTTAAAAAAAAAAAAAAACAAAAAACAATTATAAAACTTGGCAATCAGTTGAATACATCTTTTACACATTTCTTAACTCAGTAGATGATTTTTTTTAAATGTATTGTTTAAACACTGTATTTTAATGTGATATGACGTGCTTAATATACCCATATATGTGTTATATGTAGTATCGAAAAGCGAAATAAATATCTATCTATCTATCTATCTATCTATCTTAAAGCTACAAATACAGAGGGAAAGATAACGTAACATTTAATTCAGTGTGGAAGGCACTAAGAAAATGATCCTGTAAATATAAAAGTCGAAAATTTCCCAGAGAGAATACTGAGCCTAGCAATTTTTTTACTTTAAATTAGAGTACATTTTTCATGACAAATTGTTTAAAAAATGTATTTTTTTCATAAAAAAATTAATATGGGAACTATATATATACATATATATATATATATATATATATATATATATATATATATATATATATATATATATATATATATATATATATATATATATATATATATATATATATATATATATATATATATATATATATATATATATATATATATATATATATATATATATATATATATATATATATATATATATATATATATATATATATATATATATATATATATATAAGAAATCGGGGGTAAAATAAGTGAGTCCACAGAAAATATATTTTTTAAACTTTTTTGACTGAACCAAAGGCAGTTGTGGTCTAAATTTCATTTAGGCGTCGTCAACCATTCCAAAAATAAAAAAATGCAATTTTGTGGCACTGCTTTTAGAAGGATGTTACACATGGATGTTAACCTAACAGTACTAACAATATGTAATTTAATTTCTAAATTCATCTAATCTAATTCCTAAATTAGCGTTTTTTTTCTTTATTGAAACACCCTGTATTGTGTGGAGTCTAGTGTTTTTCTTTCAACAAACGTTTCAAAATTTTTGACAAATAAAAATTTTATTTAAACTTCTCAATAAAGACATATGTCATAACGTTGTAATGGAATTTTATGCGCTGCAAATCTTTCAATCTTACCAGTTTCCGAACTCTATTTTTCCATATTAACTTCGTCTCTGTGGCAACCATCACCTATGCGTTTGGTCGATAACTACTGACAAGAAGCATAGAGCATAGAAACAGGTCACTCCGTGTCACTTTCTGGCATCGATTATCCCCTTCGGTGCTTCACAATGGCAGACCCGGAGCCCCAAAAGCCGGAATCCCTACCTGACCAATACCAGATCGAGTCGGAAACGACCATCACTCTAACCAAATTGCCGAAACTAACCAGAGCTCACATACCGGCCAGAAAAAAGAAGGTACAATTCAGCAAGCCGGTTTCCAAGCTTAAGAAAAGGTATTTTACGGCTGGCGTAGATTTGGATGATGCAGAGATCAAAGATTTGCGTCAGGTAAGAACTACTAAATAACTAATTTGAGGATACGCACTGGCTGATGTTCAAGGAACCGTCCCCCTTTGAATATCCTAAAGATTTGGAAGTATTTGCTCATAAAGTAATGACGAAAGCCTGGAGGAACGATGTCCGGATCAACGAGCTTCACATGAAATGCTTTCAAAAGCCCAGCCACAGAGGAAGGCACAAGAAGGACCTCCTGGCCAGGCTCTACGTGGAAGATCCTCCCAAGGACAGCATGAAGACAATCCTCGACATTGATCCGGAATATTACAAAGCGGTCGAAGGTATTCTAAGAGGAGACTATGTGATAGCAGCTAATAGTCGCTTGCAGGAAGGCCGATACCAGATAAGTTGGACATCAAGCAATATATCAACACGGTGAGGGATTCGTTGAGGACGAGGATTATAAACGGATACAGGGAAGACGACATCATGTTGATCGAGGAAAACCTCTTGCTGGAGCAAAAGATTATCGACTCGGTCAAGGAAAATTACGAGAAGTATGTAAACGTTTTTGAGGAGTTCCTCTACCGCGATCACACGTCGGCCACGCAGCTGCTGCAGGTAAATTTGGCCGGCAACAGAGTACTGAGGAATTCTTCCGCTGTTGGTTTGTAGGATTCAGACAGAGCTGCGGCCGATGCGTATCAAAAGTACGAAGAGTACAAAGAGGTGGCCAACAAATTCGCCGCTCTGAGATCCGCTTTATACAATACAGAAGAAAAATGGCGGGGCTGCTTGATGTACGAAAAGTTCCTGTTCTTGGTCAGTCCGTTCGCTTGGAGGACCGAAAGAATGAAAAGATCGAAGAGGTTGTCCGTGTATAAAACCGATGACGACACCGACGAGAACATTTTCGGAAAGTACCAACTTACGAAAGAAGACGAGGAGATGTCTTTAGAAGAGCTGCTGATGCGATTCGAACAAGAATGTATGGAGGACGAGGCTCCGGAGCTCTACTTTACCGATCCGGAGCAGCTCGCCGACGTGTTCAGGTTTATGGAAATGCAGAATCTGAACTCGCTGCTGCACTCGGAAGAACTGGCACTGCCGCTCGAGCAAATTAAAGAGGGGATGAGCAGGGCGGAAGAGATGTTCGACGAAGAGATTCGTAACTTGCGGGAAATCGTCGACAGACTCGAGGAAGGCATATTGTACGGTATCTCCGTGCCGAAACGAACGCCTGTAGGTTTCTTTCCAGATGGGAGGAGGATCGCGCCAAATACTTGGAAGAACTTGCCCTAAATTTGATCAATAACGAGTTCAAGAAACTGATAGTCGACGATGAGGTGCTGAATCTGCACGTGTTCGTCGAGGACGTGTACGAAACGCGGATAGGACCTAATGACGCTAACCTCAGCATGGTGGAAATGATGAACGCAGTGGAAGCCAAGTACAGAAGCGAACTGCTCTCTCTGGACATGGTGAGAGGGGGGGTAGGGTCCAAATGGAAATATTGCAGGGGGTTTGCAGGTGCCCGCTGAGGAAGTCGCGGTATTGGAAGGCAGCTACTACCTAGAGCAGATGACGGTGATGCGGCTTGCGGAGAAGGCCGCCAAGCAATACCAAGAGCTCGAGCAGATCACCCGCAAGCTTAACAAAGCGTTCGCGGAGCCGTACGTGAAACCGCGCGGCAAGGGTATGCTAATTCCTCCCTAACGTACACACGGACAACGTTTCGGATCATTAAACGCGGGCGTGTTACGAATATTTCATTTCCCGGGGGATCATTGTCGTTTTATGGCGGCATCAGCGATTCGTAATCTGACCTAGTTTCCGGTCCGTCGAGATCTTCTTTAGCTATTCGATTACGGGGGGAATTTTCAGGGCTCGTTTGACATGCAAAGCGTAGCTTGTTTGGAGTAAGGCTGGCGCTGTTGTCACCGTTTTTGAATGTCGAGGAGGATTAAAGCTCAATGGGCATTGTTTTTTCTTCCGTTTTTAGAGCCCAAGAAGCGCTCGCCGCCGGTGGCGCACCGATCGCGCCAAGTGGCTCCCCCTAGGGAGCTAACGGACAGCGAGAGGGAGTACCTGGAATATTTTACGGAATTCTGCTCGCATACAGACGACCCGAAGGAGTACGGCATCGACGTTTTCGATAAGAACAAGAAAAACGAAGTCGAAATAGTGAAAAATTATGGCTAATTTGGGCTAATAAAATCTGATTTAGGCGAACAGAAGGGTGTGCGGCAACCCGCCCACTGTTTTCTTTGAAAAATTCAGTCGCAGGTTATACCTTTTGATATTGGGTCCATTTATGTACCTCCATTATGCATCCTAAACACTGATAACTGATACAACAAAAGCGTGTACGTAGAATTTTGGTTAGAACAATGCGTGAGTTAGGCTTAATATGTATCCCATACAAATGATAACGTATTATTGGATAATAAGTTTGATTGTAGAATTCTGAGCTCAAAAATTTATATTGTGAAACCTGTTTTTTGATATGATGAAATTCCTCTTTTTTTGTGATTGTGAATGAAAATTTAATTTATTTAATTGGGTCCTTTTTGGCCTTTAACTGATCGACCAGACTCACCAACGGTGTGTAGATACAGGCCAAGAAGTTTCGTTGGTTCGTGTGCCTTTTTGTTCCACGTAGATGCTTTTTTTAGCTTGTCTGTTTTGAACCATAAATTGGACACATGAAATATCAGTGTCAAACACTAAACTGGATCATGAAGGAATGACCTTGATAATGGTTTGACTGGTTACTGCCCACTAAAGAAACACCTTACCCCAATGAGGACACAAACTAGAATTACATTGAATGTAGCCAAGACAAGAACATAATTATAGAACGAGTTAGACGCTTAGGCAAAGAGAAAATCCTCCTCTCAAACTTGTGATCCTTAACCTCAAATATATCCGGTTCAACTTATCACATCTCACACGTCAACAAAAGCTCAGTATGATCCATTTTTATGATGGAAGGAGAAGTTTGAAAAATAGACTCAATATTATTCATTGCTATTATGAAGGTTAGGATAAGAGTAAATCATTCCTTCAAAATCTCTCTCCCTCTCTCTCTTTCTCTGAAATCTAAAATGTGTAACAACAGGTTCAGTATAGTCCATTACTATTATGGAGAAAGTTAGTGTGTGGAGTAACCAATTACTATCATCCTACATTCAGTTTTTATGTCTATGGTAACATCGTCGTAACACACACTGAAAGTTTTGACATTTTCAAGCGTGGACTTGATTGATTGAAACAAATCATGGAAAATCCACGAGCAAACCTGTTCAAAAATTTGTTTATGTTGAGTACCGGTTTCGACAGGGTATAACGTATAACATAGGTAATCAGGTCAAAAATATATACGAGTCATGGAGGTCTGTAAAAGACCCCCTTTGGGACAATATTTTCATTTTCATTTTTTAAAAAGTCTTGAGCACGTCATACTACTATTCAGACGTCAAGGGTGTGCCACAAGGTGGCGTCGGGGGACCAGTTTGATTGGAATCGACGTTCGGGTTTCACCGATAATGTTTTCGTACGACTTTCACGCGGCGACAAACTTTTCCCGTCATTTTAGCCCATATGGCGCGCGAAAACAAAGTCGTCATTTTGTTTTCGTCGTCCCGTATAAATAGATCGAAACCTGAGAGCCGGCGGGCCTAAAACGGGCAGATGTTTCAAAATTTATCGCCGATGCAACTACGGGGCGGACATTTTTACAGGTAAGTAGGCAGAAAAAGGCCGCTTTCTCACAGAGCCGAGTGCGTTCACATCGTCCTCTTACCAGATTCGGATAATCGGTGTCGTTTATAAGCAATTTCGTTTAATAAAAATAGCCCAAAACGCAATTTTCTTTAAGGGTGTGTCAATACCGAAGGGAATAATTTTCAGACAAAAGATTGATATAGACATATATCCTAGACGTCTTAGCATTCGGTGGTAAAGTTTTACGAAAAAAAAAAAATCTAGTGTTTTTAATATTATTTAAAAGATGGAGATATATTTCTAAAATTTGCCAGTTGAACTTAGTACTTTTTGTTAACCAAGGATTTTTTTAGAAGTCTGCCGTGATTGGGAACGCATGTTTTTGGCAGTACCATCTTTTCCAGTAATTATTTTCTTTGGATAATGTGGTCTGTATGAATCTTTTGAGTTACATTTCGTTAAAACACTGGATAATCAGCTTTGTCTATGTCTATATGTACTTACATCGATCCTACTGAACAATAAGGAGACATGGCGGAGATAGATGGCACGACTTACACCACACAAATGCTTCCAAATCAATTATTGGAAATAGTAAGAAAACTAGAAATAAAAACAATAATAAAGACTGTTTGTTATTTGGAGTAAACGGGGCTAATGTGACCAATAGAAACTAAGCGATAGGGCGGAAAGATAATTTATTTAGGTTCGAATAAATTTGAGGTTATAAACATCAATGTTAAATCATTATACATTGTGTTTTCGTTAAGTTAAATTAATTTTTTCTACTCCCATCGGTACAATACCTAATTAGGCACCGATCTAATGTGCGGGAAGCGTCACTTTTCCACGTCAGTTTCGTTTCCCATGAATTGGAGCCACTTAAGATATTTCCGGAATTTTACCGCATGGATTTGGGAGCAATCGGATGTTTTTCGAGATATTTCCCACGCTTTGAATTTTGACGGTCATGTCAGTGAATGTATTCGTGTTGTTTTGCGAAAATGTACCCAAAAACTAACGGTCGTAGAAAAAGTATAGAATGTAACACGTTCGGTAAACGGCATTTGACTCACGAGTTTATTTGACACGAGCGGAGCGAGTGTTTAATAAACGAGTTTACCGAACGTGTTGAATACTATACTTTTTCTATGACCGTTAGTTTATTGATAATTCTTTGCAAAACAACATAAATACATGCACTAACATGACCGTCAGAATTGACAAACGTCAAAATTCAAAGCGTGAGAAATATCTCCAAAACATCCGATTGCTCCCAAATCCATGCGGTAAAATCCCGGAAATATCCGAAGTGGCTCGAATTCATGGGAAACGAAACTGACGTGGAAAAGTGACGCTTCCCGCACATTAGATCGGTGGGTAATTAGGTATTTTACCGATGGGAGTAGAAAATATACTATTTTGCAATTTTTAGAAAATTTTCTATCAACAATGGTACGGATGTACCTCAACAGTGTTGATTCTAAGACATACGTTGATATTACATTTTTTTATTGAAATACATTCACGAATTATACCGTTCAGTTCGTGACACAATATTAAGGAACACCCTGTATTTTTTATACAGGGTGTTTTTAAATTACGCGGCCAAAGTTCGGAAGGTGATTGTTAAACAAATAGTACATAGGAATATAGGAAATGCTTTGTAATTGGGTGCAGGATACCAAAATTTCAAGAAATATATGGTTTTTCATGCAATTTTTGAAAAATAATTTGCGGATTTTGCTGAAATTTAGTGGAGCCCTCAAACTAGCAAACTTAAAACCACTCTCTATGAAATTAAGCCCCAATCAATTGTAGTTCTTAAAGTTTAGTTATTTAACTTTGCTTTTCAATTTTTATAGTGAATCTACAAAATGTTTTTTTGTTTTGCTATTATTACTAAGCTATTCAGATAAAAAATATAGGCGCATTAATCAGCTGCGCTGTTGTTGAATTCTTCCAAAAAATCTTAATTCTTCCATATTATTAATCAGATTTTGTCAAATTTAAATAGTGACTCGGGTTAAAAAATTTAATTAACAATTAAAGAAAAACGGAGATAATTTAATTAAGGTTTTTAAAGTGACGATTTTTGCCTTCATTAAGAAAATTATATAAAGAAAGGAATATTCTCAGCACTCGACAATTTTTTCAATCGATTTGATTACCTAATAGAAAGCCAAATTCCGAAATTTAGTATTGAAAAAACTTTTTAAAAGTTTTTAAATTAGACAGCTACCGATTTTTCTCCATTAAATTCTTATGACTATATTGTGAATAGTGCTACAATGTACTATCACAAATTTGATCTCCATGTGTACAAATATGCTCGAAATAAATTTGACCGTATTGAGGCCTATCCCAACTTTTCCAGGTGAAAATTTGTCGCCAAATCATTTGCCTTCTTTACATAAAATATTTACGAGATCGCGTCCAGTCGCATCACAACCTACGAGCACATTTGCGTTCAACTGTGCGTTCAACGAAGGTCGCCGCTCAATAAACTCCATTGAATTTGTTTGTCCGCAAACTTCCTGTGCGGGTGAATAGATCGGAAGGAAACACTTGCACGGTTTGGCGAGTTTAGTGGGATGTATGGGAGACCCAACTTTTTCAAATCGCAATCGTTTAATGCGAGCAACAACCTTGAAAAGTATAATTTTTCGCTGTCCAATTTTGTTTGTTGCGATTGTCGCTGATTTTTTAAGTTTTTATTCCTCTTTACTATTAACTCAAATTATACATATTGATGCATTTAAAATTTTTGAAAAACCTACAATGTTCGTCAAGTTGTACGGCATCTAACTGTAAAATGCACATTATTATTGTTTACAGGCCAGAATATAAACAAGACCTTTCTTCTTTCATTCCGATAATGAAATCGAAGCAGAGTTTGTATTTATTTATCCATCAATGGAAGAAAGTGTCCATTGTTATACATACCAAAGTAAATACAAGATACTTATGCTACACTAAATAAAATATAAGAAAAAGTAAGATTAGACTAATACTAAAACTAACACGATGGCATAAGCAAAATACGCTAAATAGGCTGAAATAAAATGAACCCAGAACGGACGAACCAGAACTAGAATACAGGTCGCACGAAATCGAACTCTTTCGGTGCAAAAAAGCCAACTCACTAAATTAATAACCCAGGGCTGAGGTACGTGATATAAAAATGTTTGTACGGTAACAAAGTAAAGTAAAGTAAACACAAATACTGCCAAAATGTACAAAATATACAATACAATACACAAAATACACAAATACTTTAATGTGCGATGGTTTAAAAATGAATATACTTTATCTGGCTGTTTAAGAAATTGTTCACACTATAGAAAGGATTTATAATTAAGAAAGTTTTATTTATAATTTGAAATAATAAACTAAGACATGTATATATCTGCAATGAATTGTTAAAATTCCCGGATTACTAAACTGCCTTTCATTATTTTCATTACTCTTCTATGTAATGCAACCAACTTCTTTGCTTATGGAGAATACCCTCACATCAATATAATATAGGTGGCTATTGACTCGAACATGGAGAAATGGACCATACGTGTTACTTCATCGTTGGTAGTGTATTAACATTTTTTATGGAATTACATTTAATTGGAATTAGATTTAATGGAATTAAAGACAGAACGCCGTTTACTAAACCTCACGACTTTGAACTTGGATGTGTTAATCTGTATGCCATCGGTATAGTGCAAACCTATTCAAGTCAAGCCAATATGGCGCCCTTGGGGAACTCTTGATGAAATATGCATTTTATGAGACAAAACGTTATGGACTCGTACAATCTGGGTTCTATCAGTAAGCTAAACAAGGCCCGGCGGCTAATAAGGCCCGCCAGCCAAAACTCGAAACCTACGCTTCTTATTTAAAATCCGGCAACGTTACGTATTTCCAATAACTTATCCGAATTCCACATCCCAGAAGAAATACCGCGAAATTTGCAACGATATGTTTTTCTTTTTGTTATGGTAAAGAAGAATTTCGGTTAATAAGACCCATTAAATAGTGGGCCTGTGAAATATTCTTTCTTCTATTTAGTTTTCCATCAACCATGGCACCGACATTGAAAAAGCGAGGAGAATTGGACTACAGAACAAGTTCCAGCTGCCATTAGCGCGGTAATAGATAATGAATTGTACTAAAGAGCTGCTCAAAGATATGGAATACCCAGGAGAACTCTTAGAAACAATCTAAGATCTGGCGTTCTAAATAAAAAATAGGACGATCCAGTGTATTAATTGCCGATCAAGAAAAACAATTTTCTGAAAGAATAATTCGTCTCTGTGAAATCGGAATGCCGCTAACGTCGCTCTGCATACAAATTCTGCATTGAAAATAATATCAGGCACCCGTTTGATGCTTCCAAAGGAGTCGCTGGTAAGGATTGCCTCGATGGGTTTTTGAAACGTAATCATAATTTGTCTAGGCGTCTATTCATCATCAACAGCTTGTTATTGTGTGTAACCAAAAAGGTGCCAGACGTGTTCACTTAGTTGCACCTAAGCACGCAGAAAATATGTACCATTGCTGGATGCCTTAATGCGTTGGGAAATAGTATTCCAACTATGGTAATATTTAAGGGAAACAGATTAAAGCTTGAATGGGAAGAAAATCTATCACCAGGTGCCCTGGTTAAAATGGCCGAAAACGGTAGCATGACCAATGATCTTTTTATTGATTTTCTAAGGCACCTATATCGTTGCAAGGGTCCGGACACTATCTTGCTAGTTTTTGATGGAGCTGCTAGTCACCTGGACATTTCCATAACTGAGATTGCAGTCGAGTTGAATATAAGGCTGTTCTGCTTGCCATCTAATACCACGCAAGAACTGCAGCCTTTAGATTAGAAGTTCTCAGGTTTTGGGAGGCACATCCAGATCGTCGTTTGAACAAATCTCGTTTTGGCAAAATTCTATCTAAAGTTTGGCCCAGATGCATGACCCCAGAGACCCCACTTTTTCCCCTAGGGGAGGTGCCAAAAAGGCACGGCGTGGAATTGCCAAAAAGGCACTAACGCTAGCGGGGTCGGCATGTCGACGTCATAGGGGTACACACCTCACGTTCGACACAGGTAAGGTGTAATTAGCGACACCTAACGGTTGACACACCTGTCACCCCTAGGGGAGGTACCAAAAGACTTTATTTACCCCAGCGGAACCGTTGCAACCCCCTACACCTGTCACTAATTACAGGTGAGATTTCTGTACACCTTAATTACTGGTGACACACAGGTGGAAAATCACGTGATACCCACTCTGGTCTTCTTCGGCGTGACCTTTACTTCTTTTACATGACCCTTTACGAAGAACTAGCTTTGGTACACTGCTGATGGAACAAGCCATCGGCCACCTTGAATCGTCACAGTCCCGCGTTAGAATAACTACTCATCTTAAGCGGTTTTCGAACGACAGGCTTGTATCCGCTTGATCCTCCTTTAATTCCTGAATCAGCTTTTGCCCAATCACTAGCAACTGAGGAATATGATGGAAACAACGTTAATGCTAACAATGTTAACAACGATACTGAGTCCAATAATTGTAACGATAATACTATTGATATGCATATGAATATGCAATCCAGCGATAATTGAGACGACTCCGAAGATGACATTCCACTTAGTATATTAAAAAATATACAAGGAAAAGTCTCTAATAAACTCCAAAGCGATGAAAAGTATTAAATACCTGTCAAGGCTGAGAATACGATCTCAAACACAATCGCTTTCCTCCAGCACTTTATTTTAACAGATAGGGTGATCAACAAAAAATAAACATGATTTGTGGTGGTTTGTATTTTCTAAAATATTAAGTAGGAGACCCTGTCCTTTGCGATGTGATATTTTTAACTTCTTTATCTTTATCAAGGTTGTAACATCAAAGTTTTTTCTCGCTCTAACGGCTTAGCTATCCTAACCGTACGCCTTATTGAAGCACCCTGTATTTCTTGCAGATTTCCTGCGTATCCGTGGCGATCGAAAGCGTCGGAGCGCGGTATCGATCCTGACCAACTAGGTTAGTGTACTTTCCAGAGCACGACAAAATGTCCAACAAAAGTTTCGCAATTAACCTTTCCGCCATTGTTTGTTTTTCTGCCCTCTTTTAATTCGGAAGGGATTTAAGGGAGCGAATTCATCCCGTGGCGATCTCCTAAATTGCTTCATTGGAGTAACACACGTCCTCTACATACTTACCATAGTATAAAATATTAAAATACAAAAGACCTGATCGTAAAGCCCGATAATCACAGGTCAGAAAAGATTTTTTGATTTGTCATTTTTCATATTTTTCGAGTTATTGGGACTAAACTATTAGAAACACAATTTTTGAGATGTCGTTGTTATTGTTTTAAAACTCGGATTAGTACATAACATTCGAAAAATTGAAATTGCTCCCCCATTTGCCTAAATTGACAGAATATTAGCGGGGAATCCCCGAAAGTGTAGTTAAATTTATTTTTAAAGTGCAAAGACTTTGTAAAAATATTCCACATATGTTTGAGGTCAAGAACTTTAGACGTAAAATTACCTGTTTAAAAAAAGGTTGTTTGAAAGTAAAAATTCGAAAGACAGAGGTAAGCTTTAAATAAAGATCTTTTAAATACCTATGGCGAAAATTTCCTGCTCTGTTGGATGCAAAATTAAAGAAAGGAATTTTTGTAGGTCTCCAAATAAGGCGATTAATGGAGGATCAACACTTAGTGAACATCATGATTGAATCTGAAAAGGTTACACCAAATATCCAAATTACAAAGACTTTATTGAAAACATGTTAAACAAATTTAGAGAAATGGTCAGTATAAAACTACACTTTTTACACTCATCTCTGGACTACTTCCCGAATATCTTGGTGACGAGATATAAAAGGAGTGGAACATTGCAATGATAGCAGATCAATGCTGGTCTTTAAAAGGGGACAATCGGACCATGGAATATACAAGAAAATTCACTAAACGAAGTTTCTCCGTCAAGATTTTCCAAAAATAAATGGACTAACTTATTGTTTGAGGCTTTGCTATTTCATTTAGATTATTGTTGTCATACTAATAAAAATAATGTTTAAATCATCAGAGATTTTCATTTACTATCGCATGAAAAATATAATTTTGCGCTGTCCAATTTTGTTTGTTGCGTTTGTCGCTGATTTTTTAAGTTTTTATTCCTCTTTACTATTGTCTAAAATTATATACAATGTTCGTCAAGTTGTATGGCATAAATTTAAAATTAGGAGGCTTAAATTTCGAAATCAACTTTCAAAAGTTTAAAAATTGTTAGCCTGTGTAATCAAAGCTTAAGTATAATGCTTGCGGATTTTTTTGCCCATTTTCTGTCTTCTTGTAAATATTCCTACATATTCCTTATTATATGTGCATATAAATTATTTGCAAATTTTTATTTTTTCATCAATGAATCTAAATTAACAGCGTTTTAGTTTGGTTCGATTTAATTTTATTAAAAAAAAAACAATTTTTAACTATTTAGGTGCAAACTAAAGACTCACTTAACGATTGCTTATTATTATTTTTAAAAAAGGAACACAAATAAGAATAACAAAAAACACCTGCCTCTGTCATTACAAAGCTTTTGAAAACATTGTAGTTCTTTATAAAATCAAATGCGGATTTTATTACTTTATTTACTATTTTTACTGAAATCGTGAAAGATGGTTAGTTAATACCCTAGTTTCATTTTCTCTACCTGTTTAGTAAATTAATTTCTTACCTGCTGGCGTCTGACGGGGCATTTCTTGGTAGTTGAAGCGTTAATATTAAATGAAATATGGGTTCGAGGGGTCCCGAATTGTAGTCGTCAGTTTGCGTTTGAGTTGACGTGAAAGAACGTATTCTTGAATCTGTAATGTGGCGGTGCAGCTGCTTCTTCAGTTGGAAGCTTTGAAGCACAGAGTCTCAGCCAAAATACTTGTGGGGCACGACGGTCACAAGCTTCGCCAAAGTTTAGATAAACTTAGTCAAATATAAATCGACTTTATGGTTAAAAGTAAAAAATAAAATAAAAAAGCAATAAATTCGATACTCTTAAATCAAAAATATCTTCTATGCGATATCATATTTTTTACCAAAGCTGCAAAGGAATGATTTCTTAAATTTTTATTGAAAATAGTCTTGTAATTTCGGGGAGATGGATTGGTAAGGGCACGGAACAAAAACTGCCGTTCATCTTTTTTTTTAGAAAACAAACATGGATTTAATGAAAACTATGGTACACAGTATTTACAACGGAGTTACGTACAAACATGGCGACGCGGTAGCGGGTCGATATAATAACAGGAATCCATATAAATTCATATATTTTATATAATATAAAAACTTTAAATATAACATAGTCGTGTCGAAAATTCAACGCAGGTATAGGACTGGATATAACGGTATTAAATATATAAAACGATATTACGCCACAATAAATATTTTATGATTACGTTACAAAGTGCCATACGGTTGACTTAGCTACGAATTCAGTCATGCTTAAACCTAAGAAGAGGCCCGTATACTCAACAGATAAAGCGGCCATTCGTTTCAGTTGGGACGGACGATGTTACTCCCGCAAAATCAGCCCTAATACGCCCCTGGCTACTTAATGCAACGATTAAAGATAACGTTAAAACTAAAAGCACCTTTGGTATGGTTTTAAACGAGGATTCTCAAATGAAATTGGCGCCCACTCTCGCGGCCCGATTTGAGTTCATGCGATTTTAGCGATTTTTTTTTTGCTTTATTCACGCATAGAGAGAACTAATAAAAAGATTGGTTTTTGAATTAATTACCAGAAAAATTAGAGTAAATTTAACACATAACTTATTGAATTTAAAAAAAAAATTATCTAGATATCAAGTTCCTATTTGATTCTTGTTTGAATTTTTATTTTACTTATTTTGAAATAAAGCGAGATTAATTTTAAGTTTATTCCGTCTTAATTCAAATTTCCCGCCATCTAACATCAGAATGTTAATCAATAATTCTCCTTTTTATCAGTTATCTCTATGGTTTGACGCCAAATATTAGATGGGTATAGTTGGAAAATTACAAAGGCTTTTGTTACCGAACGAATAAACCCATACGGAAACCAACACGGACGACCACAAGCCGAAAGACTCACGGCTAAACTGGAATGTTCCTCAAAAGAATGTGACGTCTTTTCTCATTGATATTTCTGTAAATTTCATTCGTTCCAAAAATTGAAAAATGCACACAAATCAAAATTGACTATATTCTTGAGCCCTTTTCAGGATTTTTAAATAGTAAATTGTAGACGTAGGAGGTAAAGCTCTCCATGTTCCCATAGACTTGAAAGAAAAGAGATCGCAAAACGTGGTAAATTTTTGATTTAAAAGAATTTAATTTAGCCATGGGTCCTGCTAAAATCTGGAAAAACGAGAACCGAAATTAAAAAATCGATCCAAAAAGATTCAAAGAGTAAAAAGGAATCCGACACAGGGCCGTATTTCATTTGAGACCGCGGCAACAATTCGTAACAACAACAAAAAATTGCACATCGAGATATGAATGAACGTCCTGCGAAATATTATCGGTCCGTGGGAAACTGTTCGATTCCCAGCACTTTCGATTTCCTTACGAAACAATGGCGGCGCGTTCACTTTTCAAACGGAAAACGCTACGAGCGCAAACGTTTCGACCCTGCACTGTTCCATCGTCGATTCTAACTATATACGCTTTCGTATTTACAACTGCGGTTGTAGGCGTGAAAAACGGTACAAAAATCTATGTATATATATATATATATTATATGGGAGTCGCGAATTGGCCGACGAAATTGTACTTTTTACCAAAAACATCGCGGATATATCACAGTCAAAAGTACAACGGCGGTGGTTGACCTACTGTAAAAAATTGTTGTGTGCATTGGTTCTCGAGGTGCGTCGGTGACTTTACATCCGAAAGACACTCGACCAATATTAAAATCACATTCTAAACGATTTTTTTAAAAAATTCATCATACATAAACACATCGATTAACTCATATTTTTAACTTTTTTTACCGACTGATCAATGAGCCCCCGTATACTTTAATAAATTGCCATGATCAAGAAACAAAATGAATTTTCGATAAATTTTTGGCCTTATTTGGGTTTGGAACGTTATTATAAGAGATGTATATGTCGTAGGCGTATTCTAAAACCACAATAAGAAAATCTTAGGCTTATTTTAAAAAGCCTGAAGGATATTAGGCTAATCAAGAAAATGGAAGTATTTTACAATTCGCCTGGTTCGATTTAGGCGTTTTATAATACGCATTTGCATCAGTTAGGCTTATTCTAAAATTGACAGTTTCCAATAAGGTAGCGCCGAAGCGGTTTGTTTTGTTTACGAAAGTGACGATGTCCGAAGGGGCAGACATTATCCAAGAGTGAAAAAACAGTTACTACATACAACTAGATAGGTTCTACGCAGGTGAGTGGAAAATGCAAAATGCAAACCTTAGAATTTCATTCTCCTACTATCCTAACCTCTAAAAAGATAGCGGTGGCTCTTCTCTCATGCAGAGTTGCCAGATGTTGCAAAATGTTGTCCGATCCGACGTTTTTTTTTCGTATGCGGAGCGTCGCACACAGGTCATTACGCTTTTTCTAGAGAGAAATTAATCTGTTATTTACTTTTCTAAAAAATTTGACTTTTAAATACATATCATTAACTGTTTTGTTTTTACCCGACTCCAGCACACGTCGAGAAGAATAGTAATGTTTTTTGCTTGGGATATGTTTGTGGCACTATATTTTTTTAAACAGGAATCAACATGGCGCAAGTCAGATGCCATTTTGTCACATCATGTAGGCTTTAAGGCATTAAAATTATCTAAATTTCAGGCGATTTCACTAAAAATTCTGTGATCACCCATTGCAAATTTCCTATAATTTGCTGTAATTACTTTGTAGTCCTTCTTGCTCCCACTTATCTCCCCTCCTGTAATTTATTTCCCCTTCTTCGAAAATCATATTCGCATAATTTTATCAAATGTAGGGCGATTTCAAAAATTCGTTCTGCGCACACTTAAAGATATTTTTCCCCCTTCCCTCTCCCCCTCGCCCTCTTTATTAGTAATAGCTGTAGCTATAACTTTCACAAATATAGAGGGATTAGTAAAATTTTTTCTCCTTCAACTTAAGTCAATGTTTGTAGAAACGCACCTATCTACCCTTTAATCACAGTTCAATTTTTAACAAAAATACAAGATTTAGATGTGTCACTAATTGAATTAAGGGTACCGCTAAATTAATGGAAAATGCATAGTGCTTTGAATAAAATAAAAAAAAATCAAAAGGGCAAAAGTTAGAAATAAAAAAAAATTTAAATTAAAAAAACTGTTAAATCTACTTGTACCTACGACTGGCACAAATTTATCCAATTTTTTCATTTTATGAAATTACAAAACTGTATAAATCCGTAAGTGCTCTTTGGGCATCAAAACTAATGGTTGAAGTATTGAGTACATTAAAAGTATACCTATCAATTTTGTACCCACCTGCGACTAGTGGGTACCAGTAGATTTAGCAGTTGGTTTTTTTTTTAATTTATTTATTTTTATTGGTAAACAAAAGAAAATGGCGCCAATAGAACAATAAAAAAACGTAACATAATTTAAAGAAATAATTTGAATTATTTGTCACTTTTCCATCAACCCACTCATTTTTCTTATCTTCAAATAACTTTTTTCCCAGACTCTCTGTCCACGAATTCTTTTAAATTTAGATTGTACTGGAGAAGGTACTGGAGGTGTTGGCAACTTCTGCCACATAAAATATAACTTATTTAACAGCGTTTAAATATAGTTATCTAAAAAAATATATAGTTTTACTATATGCCCAGTCATTTCGTGAAAGCCTAGGCGTATTATAATAAGCCTTCTTTTACAACTTACGCCTACGACATATAAATTTCCAAATCCTTTGTCAGCCAAGTCCATGGATTCCAATTCGTTTGACTAGTTTTTTTTTTTTGAGATTAGAAAAAAATATCCACAATGTTTCCACTATAAACGATAATATAGTGAAAATAGTTCTCTTGTCATTGCCATTGGTTTTAAATCCGAGAAAATTTCTTGATATTACTATTTAGTTGATGGCAGGATACTAAGTTTATAATATACGGGATGGTATGTTGGTGAGGGGAACGCAATATCCAAAAATTCAAAATACAACCCTGGAACCTCGTAATTCTGTATACAAAGTGCAAAAATAATGGGCTAACATGTTAATAAAAGATTCTTTGTGTATTTGCTGTTTTATTTTTATGGTTGGCTTCTTTCGTTCTTCGATGTTAAACTTAATTTTAGAAAAAAACATATTTTTTCAAAATAATTCAAAAACTAAAATTACGCAAAAGTAAACTGTTTAAATGAAATAGGTTTCAAGACCATAGGCGCACATCGAGAAAATTATAATGGCCAATTATTATGTGCACCACAAAATACGAAAAGAACTACGAAATTCACAAGTAAAAATGTAATTCTCAAAATAAAGTTTAACGCCCTGTTATAGAAAATGGTGTTCCAAAAGTCCCAATATTTTCGTACATTCTTCATTAACGGATTAACCCGTCTTTTCAACTCACCTTACATTGCAAGCAGCTTTCCCATTCCACATTGCAAAACCCATTCATCGTCAAAAGGGGGAGAGACGAGTGGTTTCATACTAGGGCAGAGTTAAAAACTTTTTTCGCGTATGGTCTGACTTCGGATATAAATTTCACCGAGGTAAATGAACACTAATTTTTTGCAATTTAGAATATCGATTTTGGTGTTTGCGAAATGCGATTCCAAGCAGTCCAATTCGGGAGTTTCTCGCCGTCGACGAAGCTTCACATTTGACAACCTCGACTCTCAAAGAGTACTTCACGAGACGAGTAAAAAACGTACCTGTCACGAGACGTGCGCGTTCTCCCACTGGTCGCCAAGTCTGGCGGTCTCGGGGACCGCACCAAACACCACACGATCAGGCACATTGAAAGCGCGAAAAACTAAAACGTTCGGTCCATCCGGCGGAGTCTGCGCACGCGCACAAATTGACTTGCTAACAAAATCCGTAGTGCGAGCAGCCCTCCCCGCCGTTTCCCTTATTCTACCTAATCTTTTTCTTCCTCTCTTTCGCCAGTTTTCTCCGTTTCAGTATCATTTCGTACAACACCTCCAGGCCTTCGTGGAGGCCGTCGCCGGTTATCGCGCACGCGGGTTGCACGTGCCAGAGATGGGTGCCGGGCGCACCACCGTTGCCCAGCTCCGTCAGCCCCATCAACTTTTCCAGCTCCCTAGGCTCCCTGGCACCGGGCAAGTCTTGCTTGTTGGCCAGTACTAGGATTGGTACGCCGAGGTTTTCTGGTGACTTCGCCGTCCTGATCAGCTCCATTTTGGCCTCTTCCATCCGTTCGACGTCTACCGAGTCGAGGACGAAGACTATGCCGTCGGTACATCTGGTGTACGACTTCCACAGCGGTCGCAGCTTCTCCTGACCACCCACGTCCCACACCAGGAAGTTTACGCCTGCAAAACGTTTAGCTTCACATGGGCACAATTTTTAACGGATGAAATGTTACCTTTGGCTTTGCCGATCATCCCCTTGACCTTCTCGCAGTTGAACCCTATCGTGGGTACCGTATTGAGGTACTGGTCGAACTTGAGCCGGTAAAGGGCGGTCGTTTTGCCAGCGGAATCCAGTCCAAGCATCACCACGTGCAGGGTGCCTTGACCGGAAGGTAAGGCGTCGAGCAGGGATGCATTCTTGCCCATATTAGCACCCATTGGTGGCGATTTTCGGAGTCCGGCGGGTTTCTAGTTACATCGTGCTGGTCGTGGCAGGGTCGAGGCCGATGGTTTGATGGGAAAGTTGATCGGTTCGATCTAGGTGATGATGGCGGACATATCTCTGGGTTCCACCGGTGCCTGTGGGATCTGGAACGTAGAACGACGAGTTTGAAGACTTCATTTCGTAAAAGGCACAGTGAGGGGGTCTGCAAGTCGAGAGTAATTCATGAAATACAGTTTGTTAACATTTCAGTGAAGTCTTTAAGAAAGCATAGCAAGAATAACGTAAATATTGTGTAAAAATTAATAACAATAAAAATATTAAAAAAGTACTACTTTACGAAACGAGAGCGAGGCAAAGAGACGTATCGAGAAGGCTGTGAGAAACGTGGATCTTTTGTTCTCTCGGTATTAACTAAGCAAAACAAAAAAAAGTCGCCAGATAATTGTTTAATTTAGTACGGATAGTAAATTTGCCGATTTTTATCGAAGGACGTCGGACAAAAACCCAATTTCAGGTTAGCTCAGATAAACCGCAGATTTCTGCAGGCGACGCGGAGGTGACGAAAGGATCTTTTTCTTTCTGAAGAAGCCGGTCTGTCGCAAGTTTCGTGCCCAACATTATTGTTGTATCAATTATTTACATCAAACAACAATTTTATGCCAACATTGGATAGCATTGTACAGGGTGATGGTAGTTTTCTAAATTTTTATATCAAAGGAAACGGACGGTGAGATCACAAAAGAAAATTTAAAACGTATTTTTTATTACAAATACGATTTTTTTTTCAAAGAAACTTCCACTGGTTGCTGTAACTTTATTTACGAAACTTGAATTCTACAAAATACTGATGTAGAAAAAATATATTTTCTTAATAACGCTTACTTCTTTGAATCATCGTAATGAATGAATAACTATCGACAGAGACAATTTAATAACAATATAACAAATTATTGTTTTGTGGTGTTGATGCTGGGGTCCTGAAATTAATTAACTACATTTATCAAAGTGTAAAAATAGAAAATGAACTATAAGGAAAAAAAAATTACATATGGGGAGCTTCACTGGGCAGTGAATTGGAACCTCTATTGTTCATAATATTCTTCAATGATAATTATAGTTTTATTTGTCTTATGGTTGATTTTAGGAAGTAAGATAAATTATAAAAATATATAGGAATTTAGCAATAAAGGAATTATTGAATATGCTCGATTTGGAGTCTACTGGTCATACAATACATAAGCTTCCAAAATTATTATTATTAGATGATATTTTGTAACCTACTGTAATACTATATTATGCAACAAGTGCAACGTGTTACATAGTATACTTTTTCTACGACCGTTAGTTTTTGGGTGCATATTCCGCAAAACAGCACGAATACATTCACTGACATGGCTGTCAGAATTGACAAACGTTAACATCCAAGGCGTGGGAAAATATCTCCGAAAACATCCGATTGCTCCCAAACCAGTGCGATAAAATCCCGGAAATGTCCGAAGTGGCTCGGATCCGTAGGAAACGAAACTGACGTGGTAAAGTGACGCTTTCCGCACGCTAGATCAGTGCGTAATTAGGTAATTTCATTTTGCAACTTAATTGCAGAATTTTCACTAGCCAAGAAATAAATAAAAATATCTACCTATATTTCTAAACACACACAAATTGAATTTGACACTGTATAATCTAGGTTAGGCCAATAATTTCGACGATATATCAATTTTTTGATTCGACAATATAAAACTTAACGAAAAATACCTTTATTTTCTTAGCGGTTTCCAAAAAAGAACCGAAAATGGAAAAAATGGCCGCCGGATTCGGAGAGGTCATTTTTGCAATACGTTGTAGAGTGTAAAAAAGACCTAAGTTTCACAATTATAGCTCTAACGGTTCGAAATGTATAGACTTAACACCCTTTCCGCCAGGAACGGAGAACAGACAGATAAAAAATAAAAATTGGTAGTTAAGCAACTAACCAACCATTAGGAAGCTATGAAATTATGTAATATAATTAGATGTCATCGATTTTTAGTAACAAGCGTGTTCGTTCTAAAATTACGGACAAATAAGTTGTCCTCCGTTAAGTCCCCTCCGTGTGCGTCGTTATGTTCTAAATAATCCACGAAACGACGTTAAATAGATGGGAGACGTTTAAACGAAATTGGACAACAAACAGCTGTAAAGAGTCATGTCGGACAACTCGCCAACGTTCCACGCGATGATTTATTTGACCATTTAATAAACGGACACGTCCTTTGCATTGTAAGAACGGCGGCGTCTAATGAATTTCAATTGGAAACGCCGGTGCCTTGCGGTTGTTTTCACCGCAACCGCCGTTGTGAACTATACGCGATATTACATCGATTTTTGTCGAACGAAAAAAAAAAAGAGACCCGTTCGATAAATACGTTCGCGAATTCTCGCAACGAGTCTATATCGGCTACAGTTACGTATACATGCGCGGAAGAATTTAAATTAAATCGACCAATCACGGTACAGTTCGGCGAATACGGACCGTGTTGTTATTCGATTATGTCACCGGCCAATCGGCGCCGATATTACTTATAACGAACCAAGATCCGGAAACACAATACATGAGGTGCTAGCAGAGGTAACGCGTCAATTGGCAGCTGAAACCATCATATATAGATAAAAGATGCAAAATAGATGGTCACGTGCGATACCGTACTGCCAACGTGAATGAAGTGTGAACTAAATTTTACCGCCAAAATTATGAATTTGCGGGCATTCTCACAATAGTTATTTTGCTTATAGACGCGAAACTTAGCCTAGTAACTTTTACGTAATACATGTAATAAAATAACTGTGTGGTGGTTTCCTTCTGTATAGGGGTCAGTAAGAAAAAGTAATTGTATTCAAAAATAAATAATATAGTTTCAACAATGTTTTACAACAACTGAACAGCTTTGTCGCAGTATAATATTTGAATTAAATTAAATTTTTAGAAAACATGGAAACACCATGACCATTTCGTGATACAATTATTAACGGTTTCGGGATATTCAAATATTTTCTTTTTGGGTTCTTAATTTTAAACCCTTAAGACATTAAAGTTTTTTTAACAAAACGTCATTACAATTTTATTTTTATTTTATTTACGAAATATGATTTTGACACACACATCGACATCTAACATGCTAACAATGCAATACAATGTATTTTTTTTTTCAGGGAATGGCGTATGCAAGGCACCTTTTGAAAATATTTTCTTATTTAACTAGAACGACTTTAAGATAGATCTTTAAGAAATTGATGCTTAATTGATTGCTAATTTCAAAAAACTTCATTGTGATATCTTCTCCAGAAGTGTTTAGTTTGATATACACCATTTTTCGTAAAAACAGGGGCGAAATGTTCAAAAAATGTCTAATCACATCAGCATTAGTCAATAACTATGGCATTCTTATCAAACTCTAATTTATCGCCATTTGGCGCCATATCGTTCCGTAAATCATCGTCCAGTTCTCTTTCTGCCATCTCTGATTTTATTCCTACTATCCAGCTTCGCCTGGCTCTTCCTCTCTTCCTTCTGCCTTGAGGAGACCATCTCAGAGTTTGTTTTGATAGTCTTTCATTACCCATGGCCATGGTACATGGCCATACCATCTGAATTATCTAACATTATTTCCCGTATTCTTTCATTTCTGATTGTTTTCCCCTTCGATTTTCCAGCAGAATTTCTCCAGAAGTCCATCTCTGTCACCTTTAGTATTCTCTCATTCCTGTCTTTTTGTTTGTTGCATATACTTGTGTATACTGTCTAGTAATGAAATAGCTCTTCTACCTTGGATACATATTTCCTCGATCGCTTTATCCATGTGTCCGTCTTCTGCTACTTTTAAACTCAAATACTTATATTCGTTAGTCTGTACAATCCGTTGTCCTGTTCCAAGAATTAAGTTTTGTTGTTACACATGTATCCTGTTTTATTGATGTTCACTTCCAGGTCCTATTCATTGAATTCTTTAATAACCTTTCGTGTCATCATAGTTTTGGATCAAGATAACTTAATCGTCTGCAAAACAAAAAGTGAAAATATGATTATGAACCAATGGTATTCCCATATTCTTACATTTTTCCTTCCACCTCTTCAGGGCTTGTTCCAAATATATTTTAAATAATGTTGGAGGAATACTACACCCTTGCCTCAGTTCTTTATTTACGGGAAACGCTTTAGAAGTGTTATTCCCTACTTTCAATATGGCTTGGTTCTTATTATAAAATTTTGTAAATGCTTTAATAAGATTTACGCTTATGTTGGTATGTTCCAGAGCCTCCTATAATTTCCTCGTATCGTATGCCTTCCTAAGGTCTATAAATACCAAATGTAGCTGTTTTTTTCTCCATTATTTGTGTGAGATAATATAGATTGTCTGTTGTAGCCAGCCTGTTCTTATGCTTCCATGTCTCTGTAATCTCCCTCTGGTTTGCTTTCCATACACTCTACTGATCGTACAGATGACTGTGATTCCTCGGTAGTCCACATTCCATTTTGTTACCTTCTTTATGTATCAAAATCAGAGAGAGACCATTCTTTCAGGATTTCCTCGCCACTAAGACACCTTTTGAAAAGTTGAGTTAATAAAGCATACAACTTTTCTGTACCATATAACAATAGTTCCGATGCAATGTGTCCTGGTCCCGACGCCTTTTTTTTAACCCTCTATATGCCTCCTTCACTTCCTTATATTCTAGTCTTAACGGGGAACCTATTGCAGTTATGTTTGTCGTATGTCGGTTCTCATTATTCGCAAATTTTTTTGCCTATTTTCCGTTAATAGCTCCCGAAGGTATTTTTTCTTTGTTGTATCTTGTCTCGATGCTTTAAGAAAGTTCCAACTCTCCGTATTTTTCGAACCTCCAAGGTAAGTATTTAAATGATTCCATTTTTTCTCCCATGTTTCGTTCTACCTTTTTATAATGATTTCCGAAGTTTGGCCTGCAACAATAGGGTTTTTTCCTTCATGCATGCTGTTATATATACGTCTGGAGCTCTTCTGTGTTTGCGAATGTCGACTGCATATTGAGTGTGTTCTTTAATCTTCTCTTATACAGTATTCTAACGCTTTCATGTCCCAGGCTATCGAGGTTAATATCCACGTTGATCTATGTTAGTTGATTCGCT